ATTGTAGTGGGCTTCATCAACAATGACTAAATCAATATTTTTCAAAAAAGTTTCATCATCTTTGAGCCTATTGTTGAGTGTTTCCACCATTGCCAAAAAACAAGTATAGTTTGCTTGGTCTGTCACATCATCTACTTCGCTGGTAATTAATTTGCAATGCACGTTTGTTTCTTCTAAAACTCTTGCAGTTTGCTTTAACAGCTCTATTCTGTGCGTGAGCACAAGCACTTTTTTTTCTGTTTTTTCAATATATTTTCTAGTAATTTCAGAAAAAATGACTGTTTTCCCACCACCAGTAGGTAATTGGAATACAATATTTTCTCTATTCTTATTATTCAATAAAGCATCTAATATCTTCTCAATATATATTTCTTGATATGGATAGAGTTTTTTTGAAACTATAACATTTTCTATATCCTCGGTTTTGTTCATTGAATAATTTATAACTACAGTTAAATAAAATTGGAAGTTCGCAATTTAAGCAATTAATCTTGAAACATGTCTTGAAAAGATATTATGTTATTGTATTTTTTTTGAATAAAGTATTGTTTAATATAATCACTACCATTGGCACTGCTTGCCATAATAAAATCTCCGCCCCAAGCACCCAAAGATTTTATACTACCATCAAAATCGGCAAAATGCATTTGTTTTATAGGTATTGTGTTGATTGCTTTGCCTACAACAGCTTCGTGTTGTTCTATTAATTGATTAAAACTAACAATATTATTACAATCTATTATATTGTTTGTGATGTTGTTTATTGTCTGAATTGTTTTGTCTTTTTTTTCAGAAGAAGTGTTTTTATAATGCTGAATACCTTCTCTTGAGTTTTGTTTTTTTTCTAAATAGATAAAATAGATATTTTCTTTAAAACTTGGATTAAAATTAATATTTTTTATCATTCTTGAGTTGTCTTTGAGTTGATAAGTGATAGCCGATGCTGCAGTTGCACATGCAATATCATATCCAGAGCCACCAAAAGAATTTTCTAATAAATAATAAGGATTGACTTGGAGCCACTGTGCTATCAGACTAATTAAAGTAGAACTGGTGCCTAAACCAAATTGCCTATTAAAATTCAATTTTGTTTTGATGTGAATACCATTAAAATCAATATGTTTAGATTTTTCTTTAGCTATAAACATTATTTTTCTTAATATTTCAGCCACTTCTAAGTCTGAATACATTATTAAATCAATGTTTTCAGAAAAATGACAATGAAACCAAATGTTGTTTTTTTCATCAAAACTCTCCCAAATTAATCCATTTTGTTTAGTTGTTAGCACTTCCATTGTTTGATTAAATTTGCATGGAATGGCTAAGGCTAAGGCACCATCTAAGACAAAATATTCGGCAGTAAGCAAGAGTTTTCCATGTGCAGTATAATATTTAGGAAATACTTGTATCATTGGACTGAGCTATAAATGAGCCTATCTTTCTTCTTGATGTTGTGCAATTTTTCCAAGTGGATTTTTTCTCATTTCAAAATAGTCAACTCTATTTCTATAAATATCTAATGCTGCGTAAATAGCATTTCTAAATGATGTTTCGTCTGCGATGCCTTTTCCTGCAATATTTTCTGCAGTACCGTGGTCTGGAGAAGTACGTATAATATTTAATCCAGCAGTAAAATTAATTCCATCTTCTTTTGCAATGTATTTGAAAGGAATTAAGCCTTGGTCGTGGTACATAGCCAATACGCCATCAAAATTTTTATAGTTATTGGAGGCAAAAAATCCATCGGCAGCGTATGGACCAAAAGCAAGAATATTCATTTTTTTTGCTTCTTGTACAGCTGGAACAATGATTTCTTTTTCTTCGTTACCTATTGTTCCGTTGTCTCCAGCGTGAGGATTTAAACTTAAAACAGCAATTTTTGGTTTTTCTATACTAAAATCTTCTTGCAACGATTGGTGCATTAAGCTTATTTTTCTGATTATTTTATCTTTTTTAATACTATCTGCTACATCTTTTAGCGACAAATGATTGGTAACCAAACCAACTCTAATATCATCAGAAACTAAAAACATTAGATTGTCTTTTGCACCAAAAAAATTTTGTAAGAACTCTGTGTGTCCAGCAAAAGGAAATTCAGTAGAATGAATAGCATCTTTGTTGATGGGCGATGTAACCAATACATCTATTTCGTTTTTTTTGAGTGCTTCGCAAGCAGCTTTTAAAGAAAGCAGTGCATATTTGCCTGTTTCTTTATTAGGTTCGCCAGCTGTGATAGAAAACTCTTCATTCCAAACAGGAAAAATATTCAAGCTATTACTGCTTAAATTATGATAATTTTTTATGGTTGAGTATTGAAAATTATCTATACCTAAAGATTTTTTGTAATAAGAAAAAACGCGTGGATTGCCATAAACGATGGGTACAAACTGTTTGAATAATCTATCATCACTAAAAGTTTTCATGATGATTTCTGGACCAATGCCAGCTGCATCACCTATTGTTATTCCTACTTTTATTTTTTCTTGTTTTTGATTGGACATTTTTTGGTGTATTTTTTTCTTTAAGAATAAGTTCTTCTTTGTTTAAATTTTTTACAAATTTACACAATAATCTGACACCAAACGCTGTTGCAAATTTTCCTCTGTAATTATAATTTGAAGTAACATATGCTGGAGCAAGATCTATGTGTATCCATGGATAATTGGTAAAGTGTTCTAAAAACTTACCTGCTGTAATACTTCCGGCATCTGCACCACCTATATTTTTAAGTTCTGCAATATCAGATTTTATATATTCTTTGTATTCTTTCCATAATGGAAAATACACTAATCTTTCAGCAGTTTTATAGCCAGCTTTTTCTAGTTTTTTGTTGGTTTTTTTGTCTGCAGTACTCATTGCTACGCCAGCTTCTTTGCCTACTGCACGTATGGCAGCTCCAGTTAGTGTGGCTAAATCTATTACTAATTCTGGTTCTAATCTTTTGGCATAATGTAAGGCATCTGCAAGAATTAGTCTACCTTCTGCATCTGTGTTCATTACTTCTACAGTGGTGCCATCGTACATGGTAATGATGTCTCCGGGACAAATAGCAGAGACACTCACTTTATTTTCTACACTTGGAATCAGTCCAACAATATGAAAAGGCAAGTTCATTTTAGCCATAGCGTGAATAGCACCAACAACAGTGGCGGCACCAGCCATATCACATTTCATTAAATCCATGCTATTGGGTGTTGGTTTGATAGAAAGTCCACCTGTGTCGTACATTACGCCTTTACCAACAAATACAATTGGTTTGGTGTTTTTGGACTGTGTTGGTTTATATTCCAATATATGAAAATAGGCTGGAGCAATGCTACCTTGATTAACAGCAAGAATGCCACCCATTTTTTCTTTTTGTATTTTGGCTTGATTCCAGAATGTATGCTTTACTGTGGTATTCTGAAAGATTTTATTGAGTTCGTTTGAGAATTGAATGGTATTTAAAAAATTATGTGGTTCGTTCACTAAGTCTTTAGTGATTTTTACAGCATCAATGATAGATTTTATTTCTTGTAGAATGTTTTTTGGCAATAAATTATTGGGTGCGAAAAGCGTAATTTCTTCATTTTTTTGTTTTTTATATTTATCAAATTGATATTGAGATAGCTCAAAACCTTCGACAAAAGCTTTGATGAATTTAATTTCTATTTTATTGATAACATTTATGGAAATGTTTTTTATTTTTAAATTAGCTAACTGTTGATGTATTTTACATGCATCAATTCTTAATTTTTCTTTGGTTTCATTGGTGTTTTTTTCTGGCTTAAACGCATATAAAACATAGTGTTTGTGGTGTATTTGAAAGCTGATGATGGAAATGTTTTTTTCTAATCTATCTTGTACTTGTTGTTGTTCTTCTTTTTCTAAGAATTCTAGACTTTCTCCTTTAGTAGCATCAAATAGGATAATTTGATTTTCTGTTTCTTGTTTGCTTGTAATTTTTATCATTTGGTTAGTTTGTTGGCAAATATATTTTAATTTATTAAATAATTAGGACACTAAAAATCTTTGTTTGTTACATGATAGTTTCTCTCTATTTTAAATATTAAAATAGTTTTTTATGTTTTTTATTTGTTCTGGTTTGCCCAAAACAATAATGAAACTATTTTGCTCCACCAACTGATTGTCATCAGGATTGATGATGTATTCATTGTTGTTCGTTTTGTAACCAATAACACTACAACCTGTTTGGTTTTTA